ATACTATTCATAATCTCACAATCTCTGCGATGGTTCTTCCTCTCTTTTCTCAGAGCATGAGATTATCAGCCTTTGCATTGCCTATCTTCTGATTTCATTCTTGGACAAAAGAAGGAGGAGGCTGAGCACACAATCTGATGGACTGAATCATCAGGATGATGTGTTTTCTTGTGAATCTCAGGTTCTGGTTGTCACAGTACAAAAAAGATGCTGCGAAACTGGAAAGAGTGCAAAAGCAACAAAGATGTTAAGAGGCTTGAAGGCTAAATTCTATGAAGAGGGGTTAAAGGAACTTGGTATGTTTAGCCTAAAGAAGAAAAGGCTAAGGGGAGACATGATGGCAGTCTTCCGATAACTGAAAGGCTGTCACAGGGAAGAGGATGTGGATTTATTCGCCATAGTGCCCGAGGGCAGGACAAGAACCAACAGGTGGAAGATTTACAGAGAGAAATCCAAACTCAAAATAAGGAGGAATTTCCTGACCCTGAGAGCTATTAAGCAGTGGAACAGCCTCCCTCCTGGAGCCATGGGTGCTCCATCACTGGTGGTTTTCAAGAAAAGATGGGGCAGTCATTTGTTTGGGATGATGTGAAGATTCCTGCACTGGGCAGGGGTTGGAGTAGAAGTCCTCCAAGATTCCTTCTAAACCTATGATTCTATGATACAGGACTTGCTCTTCCTGACCAATATACAAGAACGAAGATGTCTCAGTCAATCCGTGCTTATCTGTTGACCAATAATGACTGCATTATCCTACCATCACGGTTTCATTCCCCTCTTAAATCCTTCCTGACTAAAAACACAGCAGAAGGCATGTCACTTCTGGCATTTCTGCTCCTTGTGATAGGAAACCAGCACACTCCTTCTTCTAGAAAGTAATTTCCCCCTTACCTGTTCCTGACCCAGTCATTACATCAGGTTACAATGAATTGGGCAATCCAAACAGCTCCTTCAGTGGGTGCACAGACCATGCACACAAGAGTTCACTGTGACATACAGCTGCTTCTGCAGCAACATTGACTACTTATGTATGGAAGTTGTGCATAGGTAAGGAAACATGAATGCTGTAGAAGGAAGCTGGGAGCTGGCATAATGCTAAGTTCCAGCGATAACTGCAACTTCATGGAAGAGGCTCAATCTGGCAATATACTCTTTATTTAGACTATGGTTTGTATGCCATCTCAAGCCAAGACTCTAAGTGCCTTATAACAAAAATAACATAGTTAAATAAAAATAGAAGTTGAAGAATTATAAATGATAAGAACATGATCATACTCATCAACACCAAAGTTCCCATCTAAGTTGTTAGACAACACATAACCACAGCTTGGTATGGAATATTTATTCCCCAGTGGCCCTTAATTACCTTTTTTTTTAAATTATAAAACCTCAAATTCTTTAATGTTTTTTCTTTCAGGGAAATATTGAAGTCTGAGTCATGGCAGCATGAAGATAAAACTAGAGAAGCAGATCTGATTCTTCTACCTGTGCTTTCTCTTTCTGCTGCTTAGGATTCTGAGAAGACACAGGGAAGGTCAGAGAGATCCACCAAATCTTTTGACCTACAGTTCCTACAACTTCTGACCAGCTGGAGATCCGGAGAGTTGTGGTCCAGGACATCTAAAGGTTGTCTGTATCTGGGCTAGACAATTCTGTCCATCCCAAGGCCGACTTCCACACTGTGCCTCAGAAATAGAATTGCTTAGCTATTCTCTGATCAGTCCTAAGAAAAAAAAGGAGAAATTAAGAAGCTGTCTTCTGGGATTGCACAAAACATTAGGCCATAAATGAACCAAATGATCTGTGTTTGCACAAAGCCACAAAAATTAACCACTGTTGAAGCAACTGAGGTGATTGTGTTATGTGTCTACATCTGCTGGCCTTGCTCATGACACAGAGAAAGCCATTTCAGATAGTTCCCCCTGTTGTATTTTCTCAGTGTCATAAAACAGTTACTAAGGGTAGGAGCCTCAGGGTACAACATGGTCTTAAAAGCATTCTCAGGAACAGAAAAAGCCACCGAGAACAGGTTTTCACTTAACAAAAGTTTATTTTTCAGCTCAATACCAGCTCCTTTCTCTACCAATAAAGAATAATGGAGTACAGCAAAGAGAGCAAGTGATGCGAATCATTGTTTGGGTATGAAGTCCAGTGAGTCTTTGTGTGGCTGAGTAAGGCAAAATCCTTCAGCCTACCTCACCACCCTAAGCTCCCTTGGGGAGAAATGATGTAAAGTAGTAAGAAATAAAACATGGCCACTTTCACACAACACACTTAACCCACTCGGGTAAAGACTTAACAGAGGCAATGGCACAACATGCTAAATGGGATTAATTAAAGTGTTCGGGGAACCCAGTTTGCTTGGTTAGTTTGCAGTTCAACATATATGGTGAACCCAGAAAATGGGTTAATTTAGAACTCAGATGAAGCTTTATGAGAACACAGGCTAGAACATAGTCTTCTGTGAACTGTGTGCCTTGATTTCCCACACAATAGGGGCTGTGTTATGAAGCAGCTGGATCATTACAGCATACATAATTAAATAAATAAGTTTGATTCTGCCCCGTGTGCTTCTGCCATTTGCTTATCTCAACACGTTTCTCTTGATTTGTTACTCCACCAGCTTCTCGCTCCTGAACGTTTGATAGATCCATGTTACATTCTTCAGTGACTTTTCCCCTGTGGGGGAGAATATATAAGGCTGTCCTTCCTCAGGCAGGAATCAAAATGGATGTAGGCCATTGGGTTGTGCTTTAATTTATCAGTAGTTTCCAAGTGTGAAAAGGATGCCCATCTTCCTGTACACGTTTGGTTTCTTGAAACTCCCTGGGGTAATCCTGCCCCTTCTTCCATCAAATGATGGAGGAGTGCACGTACTGTTCCAGAAGCTGAGAAAAATTCAAAATAATATCAGCCTGCTAGTTCGGCTGTTGCAACTGAGATTTTTGGAGAAGGTTTGGTGGCTCGCGGGAAGGAGTGGAGAAGACAGCATGTTTGGGTACCCACACACTCATCTTTGTTGGTTAATAATAGGTCCGTGCACTGCTTTAGAATCAAAGGGGGGAAAAGTGCTGGAGAGCACACAGAAGCACTCAGAAAGTGCATGAGTGCACACATAATATCTGTTAGTGATTCCTTAAAGCAGTGTTTCTCAACTTTGGCAACTTTAAGAGGTGTGGACTTCAACTCCCAGAATTCCCCAGCCAGCATGCGTGGGGGAATTCTGGGAGTTGACGTCTGGGGAATTCTGGGAGTTGACGTCCACGCCTCTTAAAATTGCCAAGGTTGAGAAACACTGCCTTAAAGCAAATTAGACTTTTTCCAGGATCATGATCCTGTTGCAGGGGGCTGGTCCGGATCCTGTAAAAAGATGGAGCTGCTTAAAAGCATCGCAGGGAGGCTTTCACTGCCCAGCCAGGCATGTTCCAAAATCCCTTTTACCCATCATCTCTGAAGCACTGCTGAACCCTATCAAATAAAAATATGCACCAGACTGCAAAACCATATAATATGGGTCTCCTTAAGCCTTCTGGAGCCAAGCTAGAAGGAATCCGTTCCTCACAAACATTTGTGGTATCCTTGAAGATCAACTTCAACTGTTTTTCCGCATTCTATGAGGGCATAGTTCCATTGTCCTCACTTGCCCTCACTCATCGCCCTTGCTCAACGACAGCGCTGCCATCCCATAGCTGCATCTGATAGGCTCGGCCACACTGTGAGGGATTCCTGATTGGGTGGGGTTGCCCATGTGACTTCAAAGAAGCATCAGCTGGGTTGAGTGAGGGTTGGTCATCGTAACCAAGGAGCCAAGTCCTCAAAGTATGTTCAGAACTTGATTTTTCACCCAAGAGAAGCAATGAGAGTTTCTAACTTAATAAAATCACAGGTCCTGGAAAACTAAAAGCAAAAAAGGGGGAAGTTAGAAACCAAATAACTTTTCTTTTTCTTTCCCCTTTTTCTTTTTAGTTGCTGTTCCCTAATTTGCTTTGTCTATCCATTTTTTAAAACACACACAAATAATAATAAGTAACATACAGTGGAGACCTTAATGGTAAGTAATCAGCCTAGGACAGAAACCTTTACTGCACAACAAATATTTTGATGCAGTTTTCAGCTGCTTCTTAATGCTACATTTAGCTCTGGATGAAAAAGCAAAATAATCTTAGGCCTATTCACACTGATATTTTAAATCATAATTAATACTGATATAGCTTTTCTTTTCTTTTTCTATCTTTAACGGTCCGAGTAATCTAAACGTTAGATTCTTAATAATCCTTAGTCAATACTGTATAAATACTACTGTACTGAAATAATAGAATATATTATGTATGTTTTACAATAATATAACAACAACAACCACAACGATAGCAAAACACCGGGAGCACCACTTAAACACCATCGGCACTGACAAAATCACCATCAGTCCATTGCAAAAGGCAGCTGTTCTTAGAACAGCCACAACACCTTTAACACCATCAAACGACAACATCTGCCTATCCCAGGTCCTTGGGAAGAACTCGATAGGTGGATAAAAATGCCAAATCCAGTCTTAAGTTTTGAATGCCCCTAGGGTGCCACATATGAGACCTGTGTTATGCGAGCTGTGTTGGTTGCTCGTTTGCTTCCGGGTCAAGAACTCGATAGGTGGATAAAAATGCCAAATCCAGTCTTAAGTTTTGAATGCCCCTAGGGTGCCACATATGAGACCTGTGTTATGCGAGCTGTGTTGGTTGCTCGTTTGCTTCCGGGTCCAATTCAAGGTGTTGGTTCTTACCTTTAAAGCCCTTCATGGCACAGGACCAGGTTATCTGAGGAGCCCCTGTTATATCAGTCCATCCCACTTGGTCTGGCAGAAGGGGCACGTTGCAGACCCCACCAGTCAAGGAATTTTGGCTGGTGGGGTCTAGGAAGAGGGCCTTTTCTGCCATGGCCCCCCGCCCTGTGGAACAGCTTGCCACCTGAGGTATGGGCCGCCCCCACTCTCCTGGCCTCCCAAAAAAGTGTGAAAACACAGCTATGCCAGATGGCCTGGGGGCCTGATGGGGGCTCACATTGCTGGAATTGGCTGGTGGGGTGATTGACACTGCTCCCCCATCATCTTGAATTTTACGTACTCTTTTTATATAGAATTGTTATTAGTTAATTTTAATGTGGATATTTATATTTTTATTGTTTTTACTGTTTTGGATTTTAATTGTGAGCCACCCAGAGTCACCCTCTGCGGGAGATGGGTGGCATATAAATTTAATAAACAAACAAGCAAATAATAAACATCTGGTTGACTGTGCGACCAACCACAATAATAATAGAAAACTGAAACGAGAGGATGTATGGCGGAGCCATTAATTTGTGCTGACCAGCCTTTATGGGAAGCTGGATATCTACCTGCCCCACCAGGGTGTTCTTCTTCCACTCTCCAGTTTCTTCTAGAGAGGATCGACATAGATGTTTTAATAACCCATCAGTGTAACAACTGCTTCTTTTATGGCATACCTGATGTACGTGCCAACCAGTTCTTCTGACGCTATTTCCCCTCAAAATCCATTTTTTTCCTCCCCCGACTGATTTTATGATGACAGATAATCACAACTTGCTGTGGAGTATATTGTGCTTCCAAGTTGCAGGACTACAAGGTTTACTTGTGGGACGCTGTTGCCTATTACTTAGATAAGGAAAGCAACTCCAGCTGGTACATTGTCTGCTTACTTTTGTCCTCTCCCTGTTAGTTTATTTATTAAATCAATTTATATGGCCACCCATCTCGCAGATGCAACTCTGGGCAGCTAACAACAGATTGAGAACAAGTTTTGAAAATATTCACAATATCAACAAAAGCATAAAAACCTACAAGGGGTGTTGAGAACAAACCCAATAATGACTCAACAATAACAAAACATCTCACGGGCCATCTAACATCCTGACCACCATATCTGGAGCACATCCAGGTCTTCAGCATTTTATGAAAGGCGAGTAGGTCCAGGGCCAATCTTCTGTTAGGAAGTTGTTGGAATAGTTAGGAGGAAAACAGGCCCAAAGTTTTAGAAATAGTGGGAGAGATTTTAAAATGGCGCTGAGCCTGTCCGATCCAGCACACTGTCCCCCCATCCCCAATCATAGGACAAACTATCTGGGGAAAAAAATAGGTTTCTGCAGGTTTCAAGATTCTGCAGCTTGAATTGGATGAAACCCAGCTAGACAGGTTGCATATTTGTACATTCCTATAGCTTTATCTGTGGCCACACATAAGCACTCTTCACGGGCAGCCCCGTGTCTAGTGCATGGCAGTAATCCAGTTGACAGATGATGAAGGCATGAGTGAAAGTTTCAGTTGGTGCCCAAGATGGAATGATTCACAAGCTCTCTTGCCCAGAGTTGTCTCCTGATCCTCATCTCCTTTTGGAAATCTCAAGGATGAGCAATGGGGCAATCTGAAATTCAGAAAAACAAGGAAGAGTAAGCCAGCTGAAGAATGTAGATTGCGTTGAAGGACCTAGACTTGGTAGGTTGGACTGGAGCTTATATTACATCTTGGACAAAGAACTATACTTAAAAAGTGGTATATACAGCCAACCAGGTTTATATAGCAGCAATATAAGCCAGATTCGATTCTGCTGCTTCAGCTTGCTGGAGAGATATGCCACTTTGAAAATATTTAAACAAACCCTAGTAAACAGAAAGCTATCAGCTCAGGGAGAAAATCTCCACCCCAGTTCATATTGTGTTTGCTAGTTTTCTCTTTGCAGGGAAGTTGTTGTTTAATGCACGGGAACATCAAAAACGCATTCCAAAGTGGCAGATGGTCCCACCACCTTACCTGAATGATACACTAGGCTGTGGGTCTTTGGTTCTGGCACACAAAGGGGTGCCCATCCTTAAAAGATGAAGCAAGAGATTTTCAACTTCCTAATATTTCTCAGGCATGAAGTCTTTCAATAATGCCCACATCTTTCCTTTGTTTTCCCTTCCCCACTCCTAAAACATGCATACATTTGCTGTTCTCCTGCCGTGCATGGCACATCTGTGACCATAATAAACAGACCCGACTGTCCATTACTGTGACGTATTTACTGCGGCTGTAAATGTACAAGTTAAGATTGTGCAGGAGTTATGTCTCTGGTCCCAGAAATATTTTTCCCTAATAGCAGATAATTTTTGTTGTTCTCAGATAAGATTTTGTTACCCTTAACATGTGAATCCTGAAGTCCTTGACTGCTTTCTGCTGTTCCTGCTTTGGTTGTCCATACCGAATGGAGGGGACAGGACAGAGCACTTCCATAATGTTGAGATTCTGTGCCATGCATTGCAGAAGGAGGACATGCAAATTAATGCACCTAGACAGAAAACAACATTCCAGACAATCTGGATATTGTCATTATGATCCTGCCCACATAGAAGGACTGGATTTCTTCTCCATCACTCTGGATGGCTCCAAGACTTTATTCATAGAGGATGGAAGGGGCTGGTCTAGGACAAGGGGGAAGCAAACAGTGTCAGCTGTGGCGTGCAAATTGGGCATCCCAGCCTAGGGATGTGTGATTCCAATTCTCATGAACTGCAGGAGGAGAGCTGGGTTAGTCTATGGTGGCAAAATGCAGGAGGAGTCTACAAGCACCTTTTTGGACTAACAATTTTCTTATTGGAAACTGCAACTCACGAAAGCTTATGCCTTTCAACAGAATGTATTAGTTGGGAAAAGTACCACCAAACGTCTTCCACCTCTCAGGCACTGATCAAAAGAGAACATCCATACACAGACAGTCTCTTATGGAAGAGTAAAAAGATATACGTGTGTGTGGGTGTGTGTGTGGTGCTTGTATGTCTGCACAAACGCACATAGAGGTATGCAATTCCGTCCTTTTCTGGGGAATGCATTTGGTCTTGGAAAGTCTAAAAATGGCTCTATCAATGTTTTTGATTCGGTTTTTCTCTCTCCAAACTCTTCTCTTGTTTTAAACATACAGACCTGCCTACCTATCATATTATTCTCCTTCAGGGCAAACCATGCTATGCAAAGTACAGAAAAAGACGAAGAAGTACTGAGCAAAAGAAATAGGGCCAGGAGGTAAGAGAAAAGGAAAAGAAATCTAATTAATGCCAGCTTGGTCCAACACGACTCAATATCTCTCCATACTTCATCTTCATCTTTCTTTTGACCTCTCTGCTGTTTTGGAATTTTTTTAAAATGGTAAAGTAGAGACATCAAGCTTAGTGAAATATTTTGCTTCTTATTTCCATCATAAAGTGTTGTCTGAGAGGCCATATGTCGATTTTGGGCTGTGGGCTACCCATCCCTGCTTTGAAGCCCACTTCCCCAAGCTGTGAAAAGTTCTAGAGAGGGATTGTTGACCCAATGATTGTCTCTGTTGAGAAGAGATCAGTGGAAACGTATTGACATTTTACAACATTTTTGTTCATTGACAAATATGCCATGTGGTTACTAGGAGTCGAAACTGATTTGATGGTACGTAATCAATAAAAAATCACAGGTTGTGCATAGAGAAGCAAAGCTTAAGTGCTCTAAAGCTGTGATCACAAGACACACTTACCATGTCAGGTAAAGATCATTTAGGAAATAAATTAATGTGTTTCCAGCTGTCTGCAAATGAGGAACTGGGAGGAAAGCACTTTCAGAAGCTCGGCTGAACGCTCACCACCATCAGGTTCTCCTTCTCCCTCAATTATTTTCATTCAGTTGGACAGCTGTAGGACAGTTTTAAAAATTCATAGCTGAGTTTGTTTTTTCTCTTCCATCCTCCTCACATTTTCCTTTATTCTCCTGGGTTTTAAACTGTAAAGCTGTAGGGATGGTTTTTATTGCTCATTTGGAAGCTAGTCCAGGACACCTTCCAGCACTGAAGGATAGGGTTAAATTGCTGGTCATCTTTGCCTTGCTAAGGTAAGTCTTATCCAACCATCTCCAAGGACAACCTTCCCCAACCTTGGTGCCCTCCAGGTGTGTAAGCTTCAACCCCAGGATGCTCAGCAATAGCCAAACTGGCTGGGGTATCCTGGGAATTGAAGTCCACCCATCTGCGGAAAGTCCAGTATGAGGAAGCATGTGCTGGGTCTCTTGATAGATGTGAACTTCATTGTGTAAGAAGCAACTGGGACACATCTGACTTCCACACTGCTGGATTTGTAGAGAGCCTAACCCTATACTGAATCCTAGGATAAGGCAAGAAGAACTGAGCACTGTCTGCCAGTATTTCCACTTAGAGCTGACCTCTCCCCCTTTTCTTTTATTGTTGATTCCTAGAAACCGAGTCTGAAATCTGGGTCTCATTTCTGCTCTTGGGAAGTAGCTGTTCTTTAATAATCTCTGGCAAAACTACCATCTCACTTTCCATCTTCATAGCCTGAGAAAGTAAGTGAACTTGGGTGACTTGCTTGTATTTCATTCCATGGAAGAGCCTTCCTTAATCTGTGCTCTTCAGAGTATGGGATTAAATTCCAAGAATTCCTCAGCTGGCATGGCCATTACTGAGAATGCTGGGAGTTGAAGTCCACACATCTGGAGGGTAGCTATGCTGGGGAGGAATGGCAATGGAGCCATTGCATTTAATGGCAGGAGAAGAGGAGTTGGGGAAGAGGTTTTTATTCTGATCTTGAAACAGAATATATTTCTGGGTGCTTTAGAGGTAGCCCGTATATTTCTTTGAGGGCTTCAGAGGAAAGAGAGGAAGAGAGAGGAAGAGAAATTGTTGATTCACTGGGTCCAGAACCAAGCTACCCCGAATGAAAGCCAGCAGTTGTTGTCATTGTCCTATGAAGTGCACTGAATTCTCTCACGCACCAAAAGGCTAGTCAGAGGGGGCCTCACATGTAGATAGGAGCAAGTGTTTCTCACAGAAACTCCCTCCCTCTGCCCTCTCCAGATGGGAAAAACCCACAACTCCAGGTTTAGCCTCTTCAGTCTGGCACTGTGTCTCAGGGTTTCTTCCGCACTGAGTTTCTCTCAGTGCTCTCAAGAGATGGCACTTGGACTGTAGCCAGTTTCGATGGGGGCCTCC